CCTGCGAGAGTTGTATCTGTAATACTGCTAATACTCCAGAGAATCGGAGATTTCATCGCGGGACAAAAAATACTAAAAGGAGGCCGACTCATCATCAATGATGGCGGTGTAATCCCATACGGTGGCCTGTAGGAGTCACTGGCAGAGCTTCTGATCAGATAGAATGGCCAAGAGAAAGACACCCGGTGATATCAGGTGAGGGCTACTAGAAATGTGAGCTCTGGAAGGGCCCAATATCATTAAAATCCCATCCCCCGCAGCTGTGGTCTGCAATCACTGCATCAGGGTGTGTCCATGGTGGAAAAGTCTAAACGTTGCTCCCCGCTCCTGGCAACCAATGGGGCCCCCTACTGTTTTTATGGATGAGGTATGAAAATAAACCGGGGAAGCTTATTGGTTGCTGTGAGCAGCATTGAATCAGAGATCGGACCCGTAGTCTACAGTGGCCAGCTCGTTCCGCGCAGGAAGCTTTGTGCCCCAAGTAGGCATCAGAAAAGGTGGTCGCCCCCTTTAAGTTCTTACTTAAGAGTCGGAGCCAAAGCATAATACAGACCCATGTAGGCAGAATTCTTGTGGCTTACTCACAGACACATAGGTGTCATGGCTGAAGCAGGAATTAAAGCATTGCTCCAGGCACTCCATAATACGTCTCCTGCAAGGTCTCCACAACATCAGCACGTGGACATTATATTCCCGTCTCCTCGCCTTCATTAATACGAGGAAATCACCAAAACATCGAGACATGTCCCCGGTTCTGGCAATAGTTCCAGTGCCGGGCCACCAACACCATTCGCCTGGCTAATCCCCCAACTGTCACTGGCAGTATCTCTGTGTGTAGATCGTCATCACGAAACATCCGTCTTCTGTGTTATGTTGAAGATTCGGGGAAAGTTCCCCTTTAAAGGGGACACCGCACTAAAATTGAAAGATCTGCTCATCAAGTGTGCACCCCCTTAACCCATCCCAAATAGCCGTACCCCTGCGGGAGCCAGGCAAGGGCCACATCACCCTCCTTCCAACGGGATCCCGGGGGGAAGACGATCCTGTACTGTGATCCAGCGTCACCACCCCAGATGGGCTACATGGCGTTTCCCAGGCTCTCGTTGGAAGGAGCATCAGGTCACCTCTGAAGTTGGGGGAGGTAACTAAATTAAATCCCTCCCTCCCCCCCATTTTTTTGATCGGGATTCGGGAGGTAGGCAATGCTTATTTAGGCAGAATTTGCAAGGAGTGCTCCTATCAAAGCAAAACCAAAGAACAAAGATGTCACATATGGCAGCTCTCCGGTCTTTAGATGTGGTGGCTGCATTAGGGTTTTCCTATCCGGGGTGACAACGCCAACTTACCGCACTGTATCTATGGAGTGTTGCCACCCTAGAACAGAACTACAAACACCTTCCATCCAAATCCATTAAATTGGGGTTCTTTTGAAGTTCACAGACGGTATAAAATGTTATTTCATTCAAATTAATTTACAAGTTTAGTGCACAGGAAGTGACAAGGACACAGGATTTCTGGCAGGACAACAGGAATTGTCCGCACTTGCTGGAAACGTTCTTACCCTGAGTTAGGGATGCACCGATACCTATACTAGTATTGGTGCTGATACCAAGTATTTGGGCGAGTACTCGCCTAAATGCTCCCGATACGGGAACTTACAGTATTCAGAAGCCGGGTGACAAGTCATTACACACCGCCCGTCTTCCTGGGAAGCCGGCTCCATGCTCCCTTGTCAATTGGTTGGGAAGCTGGCCAATCAGGAAGCCGGGGGCGGCGAGTCATTACATAACCCCCAGCTTCCTGATTGACCAGAAAGTTGGCTCCATGATTTCTCGTCCTCTTGTGAAGAGGGAGCATGGAGATGGCTTCCCAGCTAATCAGGAAGCCGGGCGGCGAGTCAATACACATTACCCGGCTTCCTTAATGGGACTTCCAGCATTGGTATCGGCGAGTACTGAAAAACCGGTATCGGTGCATCCTTACCAGGGCCGGATTTGCCACAAGGCCAACCAAGGCCCGGCCTCGGGGCAGCAAGGAGTAGAGGGGCAACAGGGGTGTGGAATTCCTATCTCCAGATACCCGGGACATGCAGTTCCGGGGCGCCGGGCGGGCAGTTTTCTACATTTAGCCCGGCTTTGGGCAAGCAGAGCTAACTGTACAGTGTAGCGCTTGTTTTATACAAATGAATGAAGAAAACTAATTCAGCCACCACATCCAAGGCCTGGGAAGCTGCGATATATTCCAGTTTTATTCTGGGGTCTAGATACACGTCAATAACTGGCTGCCACCAATGGACATCAACTGTTCAAGGGCGTCCATTTTGCCAATTCATTCGGAGGCAGTCATTAACACTGATAAACATTGTTGGGCTGAAACTGAATGAACCCGACCAATAACCTGCAGGCTCATTAGGGGGTCCTGGATCTTCATTGGTAAATATACAATTGCTTCCTTGCTGCGGTAACGGATGGCCAAAGGTGTGGAGGAAGACAGAGCGGACACGGGTGCACAACTCGAGTCCTCAAACGCCGGGACACCGATACACTCCTATGGCTTCCCTTATTAAAGCTGAACTCCGGGATCTTTAAAAACATAGTCATCAACAGCCACAAAGGTTGTAAAATCCACTCTGTGTGCACCAAATGCCTTTACAAACCCGAAAATGACCTTGCAAAAGGTAGTAATGACATCACTGTGCAGCTCATAGCCAGTACAGACAGCAGAGCTGTGGGAGCGACCCAGCAGGCCCCACCAACTACAGGGGGGGGGGGGGCAGGAACAAGACCAGGCACCCTGCACAAGGAGAGAGCAGCAGTGACCATTCTTTATTACAGGGGGGGGCGGAGACAAGACCAGTCACCCTACACATGGAGAGCAGTAGTCACTGGTCTTTATTACAGGAGGGGGGCGGAGACAAGACCAGTCACCCTGCACAAGGAAAGAGAGCAGCAGTGAGCGGTCTTTATTACAGGAGAGGGTGGAGACAAGACCAGTCACCCTACACATGGAGAGCAGTTGTCACTGGTCTTTATTACAGGAGGGGGGCGGAGACAAGACCAGTCACCCTGCACATGGAGAGCAGTAGTCACTGGTCTTTATTACAGGAGGGGGGCGGAGACAAGACCAGTCACCCTGCACAA